CCTATCACAGACAGCGTTGTACTTCATGACTGATCTGGATATGTTCTTCTGACAATGAATGCAACACCATTCCTCTTCAATGTGTCATTCCTGGCATAGTAAATCATGTAGTCGTCAGATTCAAAATGGCTAATACCAGTCCATTTCAGCTCAGTAATGCCTAAGATATCGATGTTTATGCGTTCCATTTCATTTTTACAACTTCCAATTTTCCTAGATTCATACTTCGTACATTCCATGTTCTAATTTTCAATGGATGTTTACAGCTGTTTCTCTTCATTTTGAGTTGTGCCCCATCAGCAAATGAAGGTCCCCACGGGCTTTTCTCCCACAGGCTTTACTCCATTTGTGTTACCACGGTCAACTCTACTTTGAGGAGGCAGCTCTTCCCCGGTCGCATTTTGAGTGCCTTCCAACCTGAGGGGCTCAATATCCAGCACTATATCTGACTGTGTTTCTCTGCTATTGTAAGGTTTTCCAACTGACAGTATACACCTTAAAATCGTGCAGTGAACTGTTGCAGCACTGCAGGCTGTCACTCATTTATGCCAAGAAATTTGGAAGATAGCTAACTGACCAACCAGTGCCAAGAGATGCACATTTTTGCTCATTCCAAAGAGAGGTGATCTAATGGAATACGGAAATCGTCAAACAATATCAATAATATCACATACAAGTAAGATCTTGCTGACGATAATTCAAAAACAGCTGCAACAGTACATCAACAGGGACCCATCAGAAATTCAAGCTAGATTCAAAAGATGACATGGAACTAGGGGCATCATTGCTGACATCAGATGGATCTTAGCTGCAAGCAGAGAATACCAGAATGACGTTTACTTGTGCTTTAATGACTATGCAAAGGCTTTCAACTGTGTGGATCATAAAACAAGCTACAGATAACATTATGAAGAATGGGTACTCCAGAACACTTAATTATGCTCATGAAGAACCTGCACATACGCTACAAGGCAGTTGTTAGAACAGAACAAGGGGATATTGAGTGGTTTAAAAGCAGGAAAGTGTGTACCAAGGCTGTATTCTTTCCCCACACTTACTCAATCTATATGCTGAGCAAATAATCTGAGATTGGAGGCATAAGGAAGATGCATTAACAACCTGCAATATGCAGATGATACAACCTTGCTTGCTGGAAGCAAAGAAGACCTAAAATACTTACTGATAAAGACTGAAGACTACAGTCTTCTGTAAATACTGCACCTCAATTTAAAGAAAACAAAAATCCTTACAACTAGACCACTAATTAACATCATAATAAATGAAGAAAAGATTGATGTTTTCAAAGACTACATTTTGCTTGCATCTATAATCAACCACTCATGGAAGCAGAAGTCAAGAATTATTAAATGACATACTGCATTAGGCAAATCTGCTGCACAAGACCTCTTTAAAGAGTTCCAGAGCAAAGGTTATCAGGTTGAGGACTAACATGTACCTGACCTAAGCACATGGTACATATCCATGGTATTTTTAATCACTTCATATGCTTCCTCTTGGCTGCACTTCCTTTGAGAACAGCACTAACGACCACCCACTGCTGGGCCTCTGTGGACCCACTCCCAGCACCACCATGGCACTGGGCTATCTTTTCTCTCCCTCCCTCACTTCTCTCTTTTTTTAAAAAAAGAAATTGTGGTTAGGGTGTAAGTTTACAGAGCAAATTAGTTTTCCATTCAACAATTAATGTACATTTTGTTTTCTGGAATTAGTTGCAATGCCCTCAATGCAGTAAACACTCTTGTCACTACCTCCCTGGGCTTCCTGTTTTCATTCCCCCATCTTTCTC